AAAAATAAAAATAGTAAGAGATCCTTCAAAACTCGGTGTTTTAAGCATATTTTCTCTTTATGCGTTTTCAAATCTAATGACCTGGTCAGTATACTCGTGCCTGCAGCCAACCAACCCTCTAAGACCTGTAAATACATCTGCCATTCCCGCTGATCTTGCCCCGCCTCCAGGTCCAAAAAAAAATGAACCTTCGAATCTGAAATCTGGTAAGACAAAACGTGAGGCCAATTGTTCAAACTTAAACCAAAGGTCTCTCTCGACATGCAAAAAAGTACAGCAGGAAAGGAGTCTGGCACTCGGCTAACATCTCCGGCGACATGGTCAGCTCTGCTCTGCTGTTGTTGATCTTTCGTAATACTAGCAGTACTCCCTTTGACAACAACAGGGCACTATGATAGCCTAAATATTCACAGGCTTCACTGAAAACCTTAAAAACTTGGAAGGAGTGGTGTCAGACAAGCAGTCAAGACTGAGACTTATTTTGGTAGCGGCGAATCCCGACAAGAGGGTATTGAGAATGAAAAAGATTCCAAGAAATTTGGGTTTACACCCAGTATTGCTTCATGCGTAGCAAGTTTTTCTTTTATATATAGGTTCTCCTGACTACCAGCATAAAATAGAGTGAATTCATCTAATATATATACTTATAAACGAAAAATAATATAAGTTGAATTTGTTAATAGTTTAAATTAGTTGTAAAAGAAAGGCAATTTTGTGTGATTGATAAATAAATGATTAAAATAAAATAAAAATAAGGTAATGCTCTTCAATTGAGGCAAGCAACTTAGCCAGAGATACGGAGTTGCTAGGACCCGTTTTCGTAACTTGATCGTGTTATGAAGAGCCTTCAAAGAACGCATTATGTTCAGCATCCTCTCACCTCATGATTATTTGCAGCATCAGATCATTGACTTGGTACATTTATAGACGTCTCCTTCACATCATTGATGAACCATGTGACTCTAAGCGCCAATTTAAAACTCGTCAAAAAGAATGGCAAGACTCACGGACGATTCCGACTAGGCTGTCGGTAAAAAGTCATGGGATTTAACACATTTACTATGATATAGGATGCATGTCAAGTCCTGAAAACGAGGTCAGAACAACTATATACATCAACCGGGATAGAAACGGAAGCCTAAGTCTTCAAAATCTGCAATAACTCTGCGATATTTTCTAAACAAGTTATAAAAAAGGAAATCTAACAGAACACACACAATGGGAGGAGATTTGTTTTCTTTCTAATAACTAGAATCCAAAGTAAATTATGAAATGGTT